CCACAGGGGAGACTGTCCATTCAGGGATGGGGGGGAAGGTGGGGAGGCAGAGGGCTAATAATAGCCCAGTCAGGGTTAGGCGGGGGAAGGAAAAGTGCAGCCCTGGAGTTGGGGCAAGCAGCTGGGCTTTCCCAGCCCTGGGGCCGTGCTCTGAATGTGTATGCACATTCAATAGTTCAAGCTAGCTCATGCCTGATTTGTACACCTCCTTGGTTAGATTGCACCAACTATTTTTTGTCCTATCTAAACTTCCTGAACATCTGCACAGTTCAACACTTAGGTTGACTTAATCTTAGTTAGATCGTGTAATGATTGCATGTACCCAAAGAGATACCTAGTGCTTTGTGCTGCCAGCACAGAGGCCAAGCAGGATTACAGCCTATGTGCTTGGTTGGGGAGGCAAGGGTCAAAGACGTTGTCCCTGTCCATGGAGTGGAAATAAGTTGCAGAAAGGAAAACTGCACAGCAAAAAGCGGCCTAGCAAATTTGTGACTTTCAAAGCCTTGAATGCTGATGTTTGTGGAAACACGAATGTTTAAATCTGCATATTCCAGTGTTCACATTAGAAGTTCACTTCAATGCTCAACTACCTAAGGAAATACTGAAAATACTATGTGATCTACATGACCCATTGCTTGCATCCCATGGAACTCAAATAATAAATGCTGGTAGTGAGCTATTTGCAATCTGTAGAGTTAAAAATAAATACAAAATTCACCAGAAGTAGAAAAAGCCTGACTTTGGCATACAAATATTTTTTCCTGAATCTTATTTGCTCAGTTATATTTAAAACAAGTGAGAAAATGTCTGTATACAAAGTAGCTCTGTTTCCGATTTGAATTTCTTGTCATTTCTTACCTACGGTGTGATGCATAATTTCCTGTAACGTGGCCACTTCCATCACATCCTGGAGTTGGGCAGCTGTGTATAGAAAATTCAGTTGATGGTGAGAGCTTATCTAATATATGTACATAGCTCATATTTCCCTGATAAGCCACAACTATCTACATACTAACTACACTGGCATGACCTAAGTTAATATTAGTATCATCCTACAGCTTTCTAACTCTTAGCATATATGGTTAGTAGATTGTATACTCATGTGAAGTTTAATTATGAACCTGAACAAAAACATTTAGTTATACTAAGGCATGAACTGAAACCACCGTGCTTTGTATAGATTTTGCAGTTACTTTAGCTTGTAGTTTAACTACTGACATCTCTTTTGATGGTAACTGACAGATTTTAAGATCACAAAGCACCATTATGTAAAATTGGTTACCTCCTATATAAAAGAGACGGAACTTTACCCAGCAATTTCTGTAGCTGTCCCATCACTTCTGACTGAACACAAACAGCTTTTAGAAAGACAGCAAACCTTTAGCTCAGTGATCGAACTAGGTGCTAGTGTTGTTCCAGAAGAGGAACAACTGCAGTCAGCCAAAACCTGGTGTGAGCTGGTACAACTCCTATGGAAATTTCTGGGCTAAATTTAGGATAATGGTGGCAATAGTAACATTTGTTTAATACACAGCTGGGGTGGCAAAGGCCAAAAATCTCAGAAGTTCTGCCCAAATTGCATCTCCAGTCAGTGTTTCACGTACAGCAGGAAGGAGACCTCTGATTCTCACCATGCTTCTTTCTCTCTGACCAAATGGAGTACAAGAGCTTTACTCAAATCTACGGCCCCCACAAGGCTTGCATGGACACATCAGAATCATTTACTCAGCACATTGCAACGTAGTTGCCTTAATACATTCAGGGCAAAGAAAAATAATTTTGCAAATATGACTTATGTATTAGGGTTTGCACACAGAACAGTTCATTGCAGCTGAGCTACCATGGCTCAATGTTTTCTTTTCAGGTGCCTATGTCATATTAAGAATTTCCTCATGATGGAGCCACTTGAACTGAATTGCTCAGCATATATTTTGAGCTCTGCATGTATACAGCAAATATTGTCTATCTCTAGTGTAACCTATGGATTCCTCAGGGAATAAATTAAAAATATTTCTTGTTTAATTATTTGGACAGGTACATTTTAGACATGCATTGCCACCCTGCGTTCCCAACATGCACCACATATATTTTAAGATTGAATTTAAGTGGTTCTGTAAGTGTCTGGGTAAATTACAGAGGAAAGAAGACACTCAGCTATTAACAGAAGTGGAAAAATATTTTTGTGGGTATATGGAAATTAGCCAATATCTCAAAATCACAATTAGCACAAAAGAAAAAGATGTCAGAATTTTCAATAGGAAACTTGCTGCAATTTTTTTGTTTGTTTTAAAAGAGGCAAAATAAACACAAGCCTCCAGCAATTTAGGTCATGAACTGTGATTGCAGATCCAATATGGTGAGCAGCCAATATGCAGATTGAGATGCATGAGGTGAAAGGATCACTCTTCACAGAAGTTTGCCTCAGGGAAATGTAATTTCTAGAAGCAGAGAGGGATTCTAACTGATTCATTGCTACAGAAGCTGAAAAATAACCAGCAAGACAAGGGTGGATGTCGTGGAATTCAATTGTGGATGGAGCCTGCAGTGATGTGCAGTGGACTATCCTCAGTAAGTGATGCAGAGTGCATTTGTCTTTGGTAGCCATTGGGGATGGAGAACGGAGAGAAAAGCAGAAATAAAATGTGTTTGCCGAGTCCCAGGTGAATATTTACATCAGAGACAGAGTACTCAATGGATGTCAGAATGGTTTAGCTCTTAATAATGTTTTGATGAGAATCCAAAGATTTTTCAGGAGCCTGGCCAAGATTTTAAAAAGCAACTAATGATTAGAGCTGGTTGGAACAGTTTGATTACATGAAATTACAGCGAAATATGCTGTTTCATTGAAGCTGAAACATTTCATGGAGACATATCAGTTTCTACAAAACTTTCATGGGGAAGGTTTTTGGGGCTACGACAGAACAAGAAGGACCTTACAGGAGAGCACATGAGCTATTAGTTAGGGACATGCCTGATCTTGCATTGATCTGGGCTAAATTCACTGCTCAGAATCAGGCAGAGCAGGGACTTGCACTAATCTGGGCTAAGATTTTGCACTGATCTGAGCTATGACACCGCTCAGAATCAGGCAGAGCAGGGACTTGAGCCACAACTGACATGCATGCATACATCCATATGCACACATACACACACATACACGCATGTATGTGCCACCTCATTTCACACAGAGGTTTCAGCGTAGAATGAAAACAAATTCTGAAGCCAAGGAAATGGATCTCAGATCAGGCAATTGAACCAACCTGTCATTTGGATCAACTCAGCTTTAATTCCTCTTGAACAAAACAAACAGAGTTCTTAACTAACTTTCTTACCAGCATGCAGCGGAACAGTGCTCTGCTTCCTGCTACCCAAGTTGCAAGTCTGTATAAAGTAGGTTGGGCTTTTGTTTGTCTACAAAGATAGCAGCCAAGTGACTTTGCTATGTTGACATACTTCACAATAGCATTGCTTTAGCACCTAACAGAAAAGTTTACTCTGTGTTGTGATCCCTAAACTGCTAAATCTACTTGTTAAAAAAAATGAAACATGGTAAAGTTGTACATGCAAGTGAACAGTCTGTTTAGACTGTAAACACCTTGAGCAAGGACTTGGTCATCTTTGCTGAGTACAGCACTAGGCATGCTCAACAGCAAGCTTGCAACAGTTCTCTGAAGTCTGAAAGGATGTGCCGCTGTGACTGAAGGAAAATTATGCTAGGGCACAATGCCCAGGTTCACTTGAGAGACCACTCTAGCTCACAAGCTGTCTTGCAAAAATGAAGGCAGCTTTGGGCCTGACTTTCCTTTCCCATCAATTTTACATTGGTGTGGCTTCTCTGACTCCAGAAAATCCTTGCCTCGCATAATTCCTGGACCATCACAGCTACGACATCCCTCCAACACTACGAGGGAATTACTACTATTTTACACTAATGTAAATGAGAACAGAATCATACACTGTAGTCTTGGGAGCTGGAAAGAGCAGAGAATAGATTGCTATGTTAGGTACAAAGCAGGTATATCATTTTCTATTTTCAGGAATAACCGTAAAGTAACATTACATTCTCTTCCCATGTATCAAGCCAATTCTGTTATTCAGCACTGGAATAAGTAGAATGTGCTGAGGAACAACACTGCTCAAAGTTTTTGTTTTGTTTTTTTTTAAAAGACAAAAAACAAAATACAACTTTGCTCAGCCAGCCTTAGCTTCTGTCTGCTATTGTAAAGCAACAAGAAGATTTCTTTTCAGAATGATTCCTTTGCTCCAAAGCAGGTTGGAGTTGTTATATTCTGCATATTTTCCCAAAACAGAATTTGATTTTTTTGATTTGCCCCTAGGTTTAAATAAACAGGGAGCTATTTTCCTTCCTTTTCCCAGGTTTGGAACTCTGGGATAATCTGGTGCCATGTGCACACATTGTCATATATGGACATGCACACTGTTTCTCCATTAATGTCTAAGGGGGCCCATCCACACTGTGACATGGATATTAGTAGTGATCTTTTCTACTCTTATCATCCTGGGCTAACCATCTTTTCTTGAGTTGGTATATAGATCTCCACAGAAAGACAGAATTTAGTTCATAATCCATTGTATGTCTTAATTTTTTAAAATTAAACCTTTTAAATTTTAGAGCTAGAACCTGAAGCTCTACATATAATCCATGCAGTGGATCTCCATGGAGGACTGAGTGGAATAGCACTTTTTTACCAGTACAGATAGAGAAGCACTGGCACAGACACTCTGTAGCCTTCAGTATACTGCATGATCTGTAGCAGATGCTACAACCTTTCAAAACTTTCATGCATGTGTGGCGTTGTTAAAGAGCAAATATCTATGAACATGAATCCTCCTAGCTGGGCCGAGAAACCTTTTCTGACCCATTTTGGCTTTAAAACTCACTTCTGATTAACACTGGAGACCCAAGGTGGGGCAGGCACACCTGTTCTGGAAGCCTGTTCCAAAGCATGAGAGTTTTACTTCATTTAGAGTCATTAGTATTTACAAAGAAGGGGGAAGGAAAACATGACAATCTTTGAGACTCACGTGATGAGTTCCTTTTTGAGATCTCTTGAATGGAGCTTAGGTTTTGGACTTGGTATGGAGACATCTCCTGGATACTTTTTTTCCTCTGGGTTTTCTAGTGAGTTCACTGGATCTTTCTGAAATATTAGATGAGAACATCACAAAAGACTTGTCCCTTCTTTACCTTTCTTATATTCAAACAATACTAGCTTGATTTTGTGTTGGAAGAGAAATGTCTTGAGAAACTTTTGATGATAGTTATCAGCCTTAAGAAGCTATGTTGGAAAGATATCACAAAATGTTAATATACAGTACTTTCAGACATGTGGAGGCGACTTCTTACAGTGATGAGTTTGTGAAATAGATCCTAGAAGTCTGGAAGAAAACAAGGCCATGAAAATGTGGCTTTTACTTGGAAAATAATTGTGCAAACAAAAGAAAGGCAACAAAAATAAATTATTCAACCTTTTGACTCGCATAACCCTGAGTTTCGCAAGGGGGAATTTCCCTGGTTTTTCTATATAAGTAAATCTGATGTACTGTACATAGTACAAATAAATCATTATACTTTTGTAAATGTAAAACTTTTTAAATGTATGAAATGGAATAACATTTTGACCCATCTAAGTAACTCATTCTTGTTCTTAAGAAAGTCACAACTATATTTTAAAATATTCTTTGGTAGTAGAACTCTTAGGAATGGTTTCTGATTTTTAGGTTGACCTGCTCATTTGTATTACCAGTTCAAAATGGCCTGGTTTCAGAAAAGCAAGAGCGTTGTCTAATAGCTTTGACATTTTTTTTCAAGTTTTTCTCATGCATATGTGAACTTTTGAGAAGGCCCCAAAGTCTCTTGCATTATTAATAAGATGAGAGAATTCCCTGCTTGGTTTCATATACATTTATAAGCACAAGCGAAGCAAGGTCAGTCAAATAAGTAGCTGTTAAGAGAATATGCTTTGTGGCACCAGAGCTTGCTGCCTGTGACTGGGAGAAACAACTTTCTGCTCCAGACTTGATACTGTAGATGCTTTTAAGACTGTACAATTTATGAGCTCTCCAGGGCACTGGTGTAGGGAGTTCTGTAGAGCTGAGAGAAGTAGAGAGCGGAGAGCGGGGAGAATGTGGACTGAAAATGGAGCTTCTGTCTAGTTGAACTTCTAGGCTCTGTGGGAGTGTTTCTTCTGATAAAGCTTCCATATGGTCCCCAATTCTGGCAGCTCATCTTTGCCTTTCTGGAAGCTGGCTCCTGGAGGATCTGACTTCCTTCTGCTTTCTGGTGCTGGCTACCCATTACCAGTTATATAGTTTTAACGCATAGTATTTATGCATATAGAAATCTAGTCATATTCCTGATAAATAAATTACTACTGGTATTTAGTGTAGTTACCTCGTTTGGGAATAATCTCATATGCCACTATAACAAATACTGAAAATAAATTATTTTTCTTCATTTTTTCAAAATATTTTTTTCTGGTGACTATTAAGGAATACTTTTAAATGCAATCATAAGGAAAATCAAATCATATTTGAGGCATCAGGGATTTTTTTTCAAAATGAAAAATATTTAGATCAACAATCCTTAAAACACAGAAAAGATTATAAACAGTTATCTATAAATTTTACATTTTATTAAAATGTAAATATAAAATTCTAAATATATGAAATCTGGATTTAAGAATCCCCAACATTTGAAATGTTAGAAATTGAATGCAAGGTTGCTCAAAATCCTAAATACTTGAAATCTGCACATACTTAAGTACAATCTATACCATGGGGCTGCTGTTTTAACTACATCAGCAGGGCTACAACGAGGAACTTCAGGACTTGTAAAACAGCAAAGCCTGCACTAAAAAGACACTGTCTATACCTTTTAGCATGGGTCACATTTCTCAAATAATTTGCAAAACAAGCTTAAGGTACCCATTTGCTTGAGGCAGGCTGACGAGAGCTGGCTTTTGTATGTGTTATGGTGCGTTTTAATTTCTGACTCACGTAGAGTCCACAGTACCTATTAATGCTCCCAGCCAAGGGTTATATTCTTTATCTCAAGTAGACGATACCAATTGATGTTTTTTTGGTGAAGGACCAGGATTCATATTCACGGTTGATTCACACTGTAACTGTCTGATATGTACAGAATATAAAAGGTTGGCTAGAAGTTATATAATTTTTCAACTAGTATAATTCCTGTGCCCAGCAGGAAAGATGTCATTTCTTTGATTAGCAATGGAAAAAGCTGCCGTACAGAAACCTTTAACAAAGCAAAGAGGGCAGGGTTAAAGCTAATGTATGCATATTTATTGTTTCCAGACTAACTGATGTTTGAGGTTTTTGAACTCCAACATTGTAATTTGCTGACTTTCAAACAACTGTTTTTTTTTAAATCTCAGCAGTGAATTTCCTAATGCACAATTTCATATGTACATCTATGCAATGTGTATATATGCCATACACATACACTCATACAACCTTGACTTCAGCGTAGCTAGATTTTTTAGTTTGAGATTCCTGACAAAAGAAAAAGAAGTTTCAAGGGAAGCACATAGTACAAAAAAGGTATTGATCATGATTAGTGTGGTAATAAGGAATCTACTTCCTGTTAATAATTTTTAGTATAGTTCTGAAGAAGGTCAGAGACAGACAAACATTTAAACAGGTAATTATTTCTAGGTTCTCCATGAAATCCTGGAGATTGAGAAAAAATAAAATATGGCAGTGGTACTTCTGTTACACAGTAGACAGGAAGCAACATGTAAAGGAGTCAGGTAGGAGGACACTGAAGCTCCTTGTATATCAGAGGAGGTCAGAGGAAGTAAATGGTGGTATGGATATGGCTAGATTGTACAGATCATGCAGATCTGTTGTCCATGAACACAACTATGAGTTGGCCACAGGACCAGAATGGCTGATCCCAGCCATACTTGCACTAGTGTGAAGCTCAAGATTTATTCCTTGGATTCAAAAACAGAGGGGCTGAGAGCAGGCAGTCTTGTTACTTGGGCAGTGCTCTTCTCTATAGAATTTAATCTTTCCTGAGTGATATGCAACCTTTACAGAATGCATCAAGGAAAATCCACACCCCTTTCTCTTTGTAGTTAAGTTCAGACTTAGTGGGTGGATATTTAGCTAATCAAATGCAAACATGTGTAGCTTTCCTTTCTTGTTTGACTAGAGTTAGGATTAAATGTTTTTACAATTCTAAGGAATAGCAGATTAAAAAAAAATCAGAACCAGTCCAATAGATCCTACCAATCCTATTTTCTACAAAGAGGGTGTGTGTGTGTGTATGTGTGTTCACATGTGCGCACCACAGAAAGAAAGCGAGCAATGAAATTCCATTAATGTACAGATGGAAGTTTATATTGATTTCAGCAAAGACCAGAACATAATGGTAACATGAATAACAGATAATAGCATCTGGCACTTTTAACATTTTTAAGCCTTGAAATCTTTGGAGAACTGACAGTTGAACTAGCTGACAGCTCTAGTTATTTCTCAGTGCTTTCCTTTTGGAGAGATTTTGAGCTTTTTCCAAATTCAAGATTTTTTTTTTTAGGGGGCATCTGGACAGGCTATTTCACTGAAAGAGAGAGAGACAATATTTTCTGGAAATTACCACCAAAATTAAGCAACTGTTGTGCATATGAACCAGATAACAATGAATTAGAAATAGATATAATCATTCATTTTCTTTGCATGGGGACAACTGCCAGTCTTTGATTTTCAAAGCAAAGCCTTTGGCCTAGAGACCACTGGACATGTCAATGTTCTCTGGGATCAGAGCTGCTCAGAGCAGAGGTCTTGGGCCAGGTGCCTGATTGGGAACAAACTGCACAAAATGAAGTTCTGGAGCTTAGGTAAAAAGATGGTTTAATGTTCACTCTTCATGGCCTATTAGCATCACTGATACTGCTGACACTGTGTATACAGCCAGGCCATCCATCAGAATGTGCCCAAATTGCAGCAGGAGAAAAGTGCAGTATATTCATAGATTTCATAGACATTAGGGTTGGAAGGGACCTCAGAAGATCATCGAGTCCAGCCCCTGCTCCAGGGGCAGGAAGTCAGCTAGGGTCAAAGGATCCCAATGAGATAGGCATCAAAATGTTTAATAAAAGAGTCCAGAGCAGGTGCTTGCACCATCTCTGGAAAGAGTTTATTCCAGGCCTTGGGGGCTCAGACAGTAAAGAAGTTTTTCCTTCTGTCCCGTTTAAATGGTCTTGGAGGACTTTATGACTGTTTGACCTTGTCATCCCTTGGGGTGCTTTCGTGAAGAGGCATCCTGATGCACACCCCTTATGTACTTATAAGCAGCCACCAGGACACCCCTGAGCCTGCACTTTTCCAGGCTGAAGAGTCCCATGGCTCTCAGCCTCTCATCATAAGGCCTGTTCTCTTGCCCTCTGATCATGTGCGTGGCTCTTCTCTGAACTCTCTCAAGCTTCTCCACATCCTTTTTAAATTGTGGAGCCTAGAATTGAATGCGGTGCTCAAGCTGCAGCCTCATCAAGGCCGAGTACAGTGAGAGGGTGACATCCTGGGATTTGCTTGCGAAGCAAGCCAGAGTTTTGTTTCCTTTACCAGCTGTGGCATTGCATTGGGGCTGATGTTCATCTTGTGGTCAATCATGAACCTCAAGTCCCTTTCAGGCGTGGTGCTAGTGAGTGTAGCACTGACGAGCATATAAGTGTGATGTGAGGTTTTTTTCCCCCTGAGGTGGAGTACCTTGCATTTTTTCATATTGAATGTCATCAGGTTTTTGTCTGCCCACTTTCTAAGCCTGTCAAGGTCAGCCTGGATCACCAGCCTATCCTCAGGTGTGGACACTTTACCCCAAAGTTTGGTGTCGTCAGTGAACCTGGCCAGTCTGCTTCTGACACTAATGTCCATATTGATAATAAAGATGTTAAAGAGTACAGGTCCAAGGATGGAGCCTTGGGGGACACCACTGGTTACAGAGCACCATGATGATTCACTTCCATTGATCACCACTCTCTGAGTCCAACCTCGGAGCCAATTCCCCAGCCATCGGACTGTGATGTAGCTGAGTCAGTAGTTGGCCAATTTTTCCATGAGGAGATCATGGGACACCAAATCAAAGGCCAAAGATATTCTGACTGTGATGTTTTTCACC